TGGCTAGGCAGACGGATGGATGGAGGGAGGGATGGGGCAGTCAGTACAATGGTTGGAGCAGCTGTGTGGCCGCGGCGGCCAGCGAGCCCCTGGTCTGTGTATCCAGCCGCTGACCCAGTTTCCGCGGCCCAGGCGGGGGAGCCGGGCTCACAGAGGAGCCAGCGAGGGAGCGAGGCTGCGAAGCCCGAGGCCAGCCCGAGTCCCTTCCTCCGTCACCGCAGGAGCTGGCAGCAAATCACACCGCTGGGGAGCCGGATGGGCAGGGCCGGGGCGCAATGGCAGCTCCCCGCCCCGCCCCAAACGCACGGGTCTGGGTGAAGGCGAAGGCCAGAGCTGCCGGGGGCAGCCTGCCCTGCCCTGTGTGACCCCCACACTGGCTCGCCAGCTGCCGTGGAGGATGGGGGGGGATTTCACCCCAAGATGGAACTGAGCTCAACCCCCTCAGCTGGGGGAGGCGCCGGTCCAGACCCCGGATGTATTTTGAGGGAGCTGAGTGCCCCTCCCTGGGGGCAGGTTTTGCTAAGGGCTCAGTTCCTTGGGCCGTCGAGCGCTCGGAAAGCCTGGCCTGTGTGCTCGGTGACTCAGTTTCCTCCAGCTGCCTAGGGCCTGTCGATTGGGAGCTCTGTGGGGCAGGGCCTGGCTCTGACCGTGGGTGTCTGGGCAGCGCCCGGCGCCAGCGTCCGGCTGCTACCGTAATGCACCTAGTAATGTCAATGTTCTGCCCGGCCTGCTGGCTGAGCCCTACCCCCCCATGCGAGGCCAAGGGGCGTCAGCCGCCTGTCAGGTTCCCGTCCCCAGCCTTCCATCAGCCAGGCAGACGCGGGCTCCTGGCAGCTGCCTCCCGGAGATTCATTTCCCTGCCCGTTAAATGGAAGGTTGCAGGTTATTTCCCCAGGGCGCGTCACAGGTAAACAGCCATTAGGCCCCGTTAAACTCAGACAGCAGCTGCCCGCGCCTCCTTGTCCCCCCCCCCCCCCAGCACCACATCCTGGGTCCTGACTCCCCACGGCTCTCGCAAACACCCCCACTGAGTCAGTGGCCTCAGCCAGCTCTGGGCCGGAGCCTTGGCTCGTGTGAACGGCCGTAGCTCCACCGGTGGCCGGGAACGTCCTCCGATCCTGCCGTCAAACCCTCCTTGGCTGCAGAGTAACTCCCTTGGGTCGGGCTCGTCCAGCCTAGGCCTGCGGCCTCCCCAGCTCACCCACTCTGGCCACTTTGCACTGGTGCGAGGGACGGGGGAGGGAGGCGTAGTGTTCCCTCCCCTGGCTGAAATTGGTCAACCTACCTAAGTGGGACCTGGACCCCTTCAGCTCGCCCGGGGCCTCTGGTGCGCTTAGAATGTTAGCGCCATGCACGTGGGACCAGACGTGAGCCTGGGGCGTTCACGGCTTGCACGCTCAGTGCAAACGTGATCGTGCTTGCACGCAGCCTGGGCTGCTGCCCCCTCACACACTGCCTGTGCCGGGGCAATGGGACCCAAGGGTTAGAGCCGGCGATTCCCTGCAGCCGTCCCCACGGCGCAGCGTCTGCTGTGCACCGGGGCGGGGGAGGAGGCACATGGGGGTGACACAGGCATTTGGGAAAGGACATGGGAGCCCCCCTCCCCCCCCGTTTCAGCTTCCCGCCAGCACAAATAAATGCACCGCGTCACCATGCTGACCAGCCCACAAGTTGCACCAGGTGTTTTTAAAAATTGGGCCGTAGGCAAAGGGACCCGGTACCGAGCGCCAATGGGGAGGGGGGCCTGGCCTCCATGGGGGGAGACCGGGGGGGGGGGCAGGGGGAGCTATTCACACCTCTGTGCAGCGCTGGCCCCACTGGCCCACCCCTGCCTGGCGCCTCCCCACTAACCCCACTCTTGGTTCCTTGCAGCTGGGACAAGAAGAACAACCCAGAGCCGTGGAATAAACTGAGTCCAAACGACCAGTACAAGGTGAGTGCGGGCAGGGGGCTTGGGGGGGAGAGGGGGGGTCCGTGAGCTGGGCTGGCTCAGGGCAGTGGGGCTTGGAATATGGGGCCTTTCCCCTCTAGGGGGCACCAGCTCCCAGATGGGCCTGGGGGTGGGGCAGGGAGTGGGGCATGGGGCTTTTCCCCCATTGATCACTCTGACTCCAAGTTGGTCATGCACATGAGGTGGGTGCAGTTTGAGGGTCCCTGTGAAATGAGTTTGGGGGAACGGGGGGGTGCTCTCAGCCCAGGCCCCATGATCCAGCGCTGGCGACGGGGCGTGGGGCCCACAGAGTCCCCATGCTGGAGGCTGGAGGGGGGGGCACCACCTCAATTCCTCACCCCCGGCTTCCTCCCCCCGCTGCAGTTCCTGGCGGTTTCCACCGACTACAAGAGCTTGAAGAAGGATCGGCCCGACTTCTGAGGCCACCATGGCGGGTGTGGGTGCCCCCGCCGGGCCTGGCTGCCCCCCGTGTCCCCTGCTTCCCGCTCAGGGCCCGTATGGCTCCATCACGCTGCCTGAGGCGATGCTGCCTGGCCCTGGCCGCGCCCTGACGCCCTGGCGATGGGCACCGCCCCCAGCACTGCAATAAAACCCCAATGCACCACGCAACGCGGGAGCCGACTTTTCCTACCCGAGTAGCCCCACGGTCAGCGTTTTCCAGCCGCCTCGGGAATTCCCTGACCCCCCCCCGACCCCCATGTGCTGCGTTTCCTGTCTCCCACGCTGTGCTGGGGGGGGGCTCCCCCCAGCACAGCACAGAGGTGTCCCGATGTCCCTGTTCCCATGGTCCAGGCCAGAGCCGGGCTGGGGGGGGGGGGAGCCCAGATGGAGGGGGGGCAGCGTGAGAGTGGGGGGTGCTTCTACTGAGGGGTGGGGCCAGGACATGACAGCGGCTCCCCCAGCCCCTGGCAAGGAGCCTGGCCTGGCTTGGTGTGTATCTGTGTGTAAGTTTGCAGCTGTGCTGGGGGGCAGAAAGAAGCGTGGTAGCTGGGTGGGGGGTTGTATGCGCCCGTATCGGTGTGTGGCTGTGTAGACATGGGCATGCACACTGCTGTGTGCGCAAGGTAGCGTGTGCGTGTGGCTCCCCCTGTTCTGGGCCCCCTCACTGCCCCCCCACCCAACCCCACACTCACTGCCCCGCCTGCCCCACACTGGCACTGCCAGCGCTGGCCTCCTCCATTCCCTAGGGCACCCACTGTCGCCTTCACCCCCTGGCACGGCTGTCGCTGAGCAGTAGGCCCTGGCCAGTAACCCCCCGCAGCAGGGGGCCCTGTGGGACACCACATTTGCAGGGGGAGCTAAAGGGGGCTGCCCCCCCCCAAGCAGAGCTGGCATCCCACACCCCCGATACATGCAGGCCCCCTGGGGCGTGAACACCAGGTGATGGGTCACCTCCTGCAGCCTCCATGCCCGTCACTATCCCATCCCCCAGCGGGTCCCACCCCAGAGACACCCCCCATCCCCCAGGGACAGACCCTGCTTGGGAAAGGGTCCCCAGCCCCCCCGTGCAGAGCAGCTGCCGTGGGGCTCGCTGGGGCCCTGCTGACGGTTTGGTTTGGCACCGGCGGGGCAGAGGGTGGGTTGCTGGCGGCGCACACACAGCAGCCATTGTGTGGCATGGGCCAGCGGGGACGTGCCACGGAGCAGGCAGCTGGCCCTGGCATCGCCAGCAACCGCTGCGCTCTGGAGGAACCACGCGGCCGGCCCGGGGGAGAGCGAGCGCCAGGCGGGCACTGAGCCAGGCTAAGCGTCCGGAGCAGGAGAAAAGAGGAAACGCCCAGCAGCTCGGCGCAGAGTAACAGAGGCCCAGCTCGGCCCCTCCAGCAGAGCTGGGGGGGAAGTCCCCAGGTCCCCCTCCATTGGGGTGAGGCATCCCTCTGCAGCCCTGCCCGGGGTCGATGGAGGGTGGCACATGCCCCTTCCAGCCCCCAGCCTCAGATGCAAGGGGCCAGAGGACTGAGCCCCCCCACAGAGGGGCTTTAGGGAGCCAGACACAGCCCTGCCTCCCACCCCCCCCACTGCATGGGGCTCACCACCCTCCACCCCACTGCTGCTGGCGTCCTCGTGCACCAGCCCCACAGCAAGAGGCAATGCCTGCCCAGGAGGGGGTTAAACTCCTCCAGTTCCCCCCCCCCCATCTGAATCATGCAGGGCGATTTTACTGGCTGGACCCAGGGGGAGGGGGCGTTAACAAAGAAACCTGCTGCAACCTGTGGGTGACCCCCCCCCAACCCCCCCACGCATCCCACGGCAAAATCCAATTGCACTTAACAAATCCAATTTGCTGCTGCTGCTAATAGCGTTTGGTGCCGGTTTAACGGATGGAGCTGGGCAGCTGGCAGGGCCGGGGGCCAGGTGGTCGCAGAAGTGCCTGCTGTGGGCGGGGGGGGGGGGGAAATGATTGATCATGAGCTGCCCCCTGTGCCAGGCCCCATGGGCACAGCCCTGCCAAGAGCTCTGGGGCAGCCCCACCTGAGCGAGCCAGGCCGGCGGGTCCCATGGGGAGGCATTGGTGCACATGGGGGGGCGGGGGGCAGGGGCACTGGCTGTTGGCAAGAGCCAGGCGGGCGTCAACCATGCCCTGAAGCGAGGGGCTGGATATTTCAACGGGCTCATTGACAAACAGGGAGAATAAACCCAGGGGTGGCGAGGTGCCTCCTGGAGACCATCTACCCAGTGGGGGGGGGGGTCACTGGGGAGCACTCCCCCAGGGTGGCAGGACCCTGCAATGGGAGATCCCCCCCGCCCCAGCAGCCAGGAGAGAATCAGCCCCCCACTGCACAGACAGTGACAGCTTCCGAAGTCTCCTACCATGGGCCAGCTCCAAGCCCCCATCCATGGGGCTGGGCCAGGGGTCGCCCTGGGCAGCCCAGTTCTGAGCCCCCCACCGAAGGGCTGCGGGGCATTGATGGACAGCAAGAGAAGAGGAAGCCAGGGCGGGGGACACGCTGGGCTGGGGAGGGGCCAGAAAGCCCCCCAGACAGACAGCAGCTCTCAGCATCTGCCCCCACCCCCCCGATGGACGGACAGACGGACAGCAGACAACACAACTTTCCGACGTTCCAGGTTTTTTCGCTCCGTTAAACCAGCGGCGCCCTGACAAGGGAGGACCTCCCCCCCCGCCACCGCGCTGCCCCATTTGACCCACCCTGTCTAGGGGAAAAGCAGCTGGAGCGTCCTTAGCGGGAGAGGCCTGGGACCCAGAACTAGGCCTTTGGGGGCGTTTTCCCAACCCCCGCTGGCACCGGGGGGGAAGGGGGGGGCGTACGCGCAGGGCACCTGCAATGGGACGACCTTGATTGTGACTGGTAAGGAGGGGTGGGAGCTGGCACGGGGCTGGGGGACGTTCCAGCCGGAGACCCTACAATAACGGGTCAGCCTGAAGTCAGCTGCAGGGGCAGGGGAGCCCTGGGGGGGGCTGAAGGCTGCAGGGCAGAGTGGGATACGAAGGGGTCGTGCCACGTGGTGGGATGCCCGGGGTCCCAGCACTGCCCCCCTCCTGGGGTTAGGGTCAGTCTCTGTCCCCGGAGCGCGGGCGGGGCCAGCCCCCGCTGCTCAGCGCTCCTGGAAGCCGGGCATGGGGAAGGAGCGGGCGAAGGTCTCCACGCGCTGGCGCAGGTCGGACAGGCGGCTCTGCGTCGCCGCGTCACTCAGCAGGAAGGATTTGAAGTCTTGCAGCTTGGCTGGGGAGAGCAAGGGGAGGGGGTGAGTGGGGAAGCCGGAGGAGGGGGTCGGCCAAGCCCCCCCCCCCCCCCCCCCGCCCCTTCACAAAGACACCCCCCCCCCCCCAACCCACCTGTCCAGCCCAGAGCCGTGGCACGGGCTTTATCCCCAATGTACAAAGGAAAACTGCTCTAGCCACTAGAACCCACTGCCCTCCCAGAGCCAGGGAGAGAACCCAGGAGTCCTGGCTCCCAGCCCCCCGTGCTCTAACCACTAGACCCCACCCCGCCTGCTCTAACTGCTGGCCACCCCCCCCCGCTCTAACCACTACACCCCACTCCCCTCCCAGAGGCAAGATGGAACCCAGGTGCCCTGGCTTTCCGAGAAGCTGTGCGGTGCCTGTGTCACACCACAGGTCCCCCCAGCCCAGAGATCCCCGATGCCTCAGGCTGCTGCACCGGCGGGACGGGCCCGATCCTTGGCTGGAGCCTGCCCCCGCATGGGGCGTTCAGACCAGCAGGGCAGAGGCTGAGAAGCTCCCGCCCACTCACTGGTTTTGCTCTTGACCTCCAGGCCGATGCTGATCCCCTCGTCGATGAAGGCCACGACCTTCTGGAAATCGGCCTCCCGGAACCGGCGGGACGTCAGCGCCGGGGCCCCTGGGGAGAGCCCAGCACCGGGGTTACCTCACCGCGCCGCCACCCCCGGCACCGGAGTTACCTCACAGTGCCAGCCCCCCACCCCCACAGGGAGAGCCCAGCCCCACAGTTACCTCACCGTGCCGGCCTCCCCACACCCCGGGGAAAGCCCAGCACTGGGGCATCTGGAGGGGAGTGGGGGCTAGTGGTGAGAGCAGGGGGGGCTGGGAGCCAGGACTCCTGGGTTCTGTCCCCAGCTCTCACTGATGTCGGACGCCCTGGGGCGCCAGGGCAGAGAGTTCAAAGCCGCCCTGGTACCCTCAGGGGGGCAAAGCTGGGGGGCATCCCCAGAGGGGGGGGGCCGGGGGGTCTCTCAGGGGAAGGCCCAGTACTGGGAACAGACTGTGGGAATCAATCCCCCCTCGGGCTGGGAGGCCGGACACGCCCCACCCCCCGGCGCCCCCTTACCCAGCCGCAGGCCCCCCGGCGTCAGGGCGCTCTTGTCCCCTGGGCAGGTGTTCTTGTTGGCCGTGATGGACACCAGCTCCAGCACCCGCTCGGCCCGGGCCCCGTCGATGCCCTTCGGCCGCAGGTCCACCAGCACCAGGTGGTTATCGGTGCCGCCTGGGTCGGGAGAGAGAGATCAGCACCCCGACCCGCAGCCCCCGCCGGCTCCCCCCAGCTCCGCCGGTGCCCCTCACCCCCGACCCGCAGCCCCCGCCAGCTCCCCCCAGCTCCGCCGGTACTCCTCACTCCTCACCCGCAGCCCCCTGCTAGCCCAGCCCTGACGCCTCCCCCCTGCTCTGCCCCCCAAACCTCCAGCCACTAGCGCCTGCCTTGCACTGCCCCAATCCCCCATTCTACCCACTATGTCTCATTGCACCCCCCCAACCCCGCCCCGTGCCCAGCTCCCGCGGGCATCACCTGACACCAGGGTGTAACCCCTCTGTAGCAGCGCCTCCGCCATGGCCCTGGCGTTCTTCAGCACCTGCTGGCAGTACTCCCGGAAGGCGGGGGAGCTGGCCTGTGGGGGAGAGGGGTGGGGGGGGTCAGCGGGGCCATAGATCGTCCCCCTCCTCTCCCCCCAGCTATGTGTTAGCCTCGCCCCCGCCCCGGGGGGGCCCCCACCTGCTTCAGGGCCACGGCCACGGCGGCGATGGCATGGTTGTGGGGCCCGCCCTGCAGCGAGGGGAAGACGGCGAAGTTGATCGGCTCCTCCAGGTTGTAGGGGGTCTCCTTGCCCGTCTTCTTATCCACCGAGCGCAGCCCTTTGCGGTAGAAGATCAACCCGGACCTGTGGGGCCGGGGGATGGGTCAGGGTGTGACCCCCCCCACGAGCCATGGGGGTCCACAAGCCAGGGCAGCTGCCCGAGACGAGTTTGCCAGGTCTCAGCCCTGGGGCCCACAACCCAACCCGCCCACCCATCCCCCGGCGGCTCAGCTCCCTGCTGCCCCCTGTAGGGACCCCTCTCCAGGGGGCAGGCCCATCGGGGTGTCCGCGTGGGCAGAGGGGGGGTTTCCTTGCGCCTGCCCCTGCTCTGGATCAGAAGGCGTCAAATCATGTGGCCACCCCCATCCCAGCCTTGGGCCCCTCCCCAGCTCTGCCAGTGCCCCTCACTCCCGACCCGCAGCCCCTCCACCCACTTGCATCCTGGCCACACAATCACCAGGGTCTGGTTCCCTCTTGGGAGTGGGAGGGGCATGCAAAAGGGGGGCAGGGGCCGTGCAGGGTGGGGGAGGAGGGAAGAGGGACAGGCCAGGGGAGGGACAGGCCGGGGGGAGGGGAAGGGCAGTGTGGTGGGGGAGGAGGGACAGGGCAGCGGGGAGGGGAAGGGCAGTGCGGGGTGGGGGAGGAGGGAAGGGGGACAGGCCGGGGGGAGGGACAGGCCAGGGGGGAGGGGAAGGGCAGTGCAGGATGGGGGAGGGAAGGGCAGTCATGGTGGGGGAGGAACAGGCCAGGGGGGAGGGGAAGGGCAGTGTGGTGGGGGAAGAGGGACAGGCCAGCGGGGAGGGGAAGGGCAGTGCGGGGTGGGGGAAGAGGGAAGGGGGACAGGCCAGGGGAGGGACAGGCCGGGGGGAGGGGAAGGGCAGTGCGGGCGGGAAGGGGGGATAGGAGAGGCCAGGGGGGGATCCAGCCCCGGCCGCACTCACCGGGCCCCGCGCAGGGTCTTGTGCGTGGTGCTGGTCACCAGGTCGGCGTGCTCGAAGGGCGAGGGCACCACCTTGGCAGCCACCAGCCCGCTGATGTGTGCCATGTCGGCCAGCAGGTAGGCCCGGACCTCCTCGCACACCTGCCGGAGACGGGCGCGGCGTCAGCCGCGGGGCCCCTCCAATCCCCCCTCACCGGCTCAGCCCTCCCCCCGCCCCCCCAGCTCAGCCCTCCCCCCATGCACTCCACCCCCGCAGGGCAGGACCAGGCAACTCACACCAACCTCCCCCCTCCAACCCACCCCACCGGCTCCCCCCCCCATCTCCAGCTCCAGGGAGGGCCCATGGTCATCATGTGGGGGTGGTGCCAGGAACCCCTTCCCCACCCAGCCCAGGCCCCTCCCCTCAACTCCCCACCCACCCCCAGACCTCTTCCTCGCTCCCCACTCACCCCAGGCTCCTCCCACTCTGTCCTAAGCCCCCCCCCGACTCCTCCCTCCCCCGCACCTTCTTCATGCGGGCGTAGTCGATGAGGCGGGCGTAGGCGCTGGTGCCTGCGATGATGAGGCGGGGGCGGAAGAGCCGGGCCGTCACCTCCAGCTGCTCGTAGTCGATCAACCCCGTGGCCGGCTGCGGGGGGAGGGGGTCACAGCTGGAGAGTTACCCCCTGGGGGGGGGGGAAGAGACAGACACTCCGGGCTCCCTTCCCCCCAAATACACCCGAGTCGAGGGTCCCAAATGCCGCCAGAGCAGCAGAAACCTCCTGGCCCAGCCCCTCGAGGGGGGTCCCCAGGAGCAAGGGACTGGGACCCACCCTGTGAATGCATGTTACCCCCCCCCCGCGAGCACCCTGCACACACGCTGGCCCCTCCCCACTCACGTTGAGTTTATAGGGCATGGACTCGAAGAAGATGGAGGTGGCCGAGATGCGCTTGACGTCCGACATGTACCCGTGGGTCAGGCTG